TTCAACCCACAAAAAAATGGGTGTATTTGTCCCAGAACATCCATCAGCCTGTCAAGTTGTGATGACTTAGAAGAAAAAGAAGGATTTTGGTTTTTATTTTGCTAAATGGTGATTGACATTTTAAAAGGAATATTGTCAAAGCCGCATGTCAACCTGCCTAATTGCCTTATCTGCGTGGCCCCTAATGACAAGTTAGACAATTACAGCTGAAAGAATTTTAAGCACCTAATAATTTATACTTCATCACCTGGGCTATTTGCTTTCCACACTTCACTAAGTATAGACTAGGAGAGGAGCTGCTTGTGTTTCAGGGCAGTTTCACCTGTTTCACTCAGTCCTGCATCAGAACGGTGCAGCCTTAGGGGAAATCTCAGCCTTCAGCAGAAGCTGGTTAAAATGTTTTGATGAAAACATTAACTTTTACATTGGGGTTGTTTTTTTCCCTCCAGTAACTGAATCTTTCATTTTTTTCTTAAGAGAACAAGCAGCTTGGGCTCTGCTTCTGGGTCAGGTCAGGGTATCAGCATCACTTTAACTTCAGTTTATAGCGTTGTGCATTATAAATAGATAACACCTTCCCACCAAAACACCCAGCAAAGAAACGCTGGACAGTGAATTGAAAGAGCAGGCCTGTCCCTAATGAGTGAAAGCTGGCCTCATTTCATTGATTAGCTAATTGCTATCACAGGGGTAGCAGGGCAGTATATGAGTGAGTGGGCTCCCAGGCTGGTTCTTTTGCTGCAGGGATGTGTTTTGGAGAGGGGCTGGGAAAGTTGGTGATCCCACATTTATGTTGCCTGGGGGGTTACTTTAGGGAGAGAGAGGTTTTCTTTATTTCATTTGGGCTCATTTTGATGTTGTGTCTCTGATAAACCTCTGCCATGAAGCCTTTACCTTCCCCGATGCTTTTGGCCCTGCTCCTGGTACCTTGGGCCTGGGGGCTGGCTGCTGGCAGGCAGGTTCCTGGGGCGATGCTGAGGTCCCCCTGTAATGCTGCTGGTGCTGTCCGAGGGGTGAGTGATGGGAAGCAGGGACTCAGTTCCCTGCAGGGAGATCCCTCCCTTGGTTTGGCATCCTGCCTACTTACAAATTCTTCTCTCCTCTCTATGACCCCTATGTAGTAAAGCACAGCTGGACTTTGCTTGCTGTGTTTTGGGAGTGGTTTTGTATTGGTTGTGGTCTAATAGCATAAATCAGGTAATGCTTTTGGAGGTGGGAATATTTATTATCACATAGAAAAAGTGGGGTGGCCTAGGGGCTTGGTCCAAAGGCAAAACTCCAAGCTACCAGGACATGGTGGATTTTGTCCTCCCTTCACATTGGGCTTAGGTTGGGATCTCTCTGAGCAGCATTACAAGCATGGGCAGTGGTACTCGGGTTTGTTATAAGACTCTTCTCTTTATAGGTATGTGGATCCCCCTGGGAGTATCAGAAGGTTAAACCAGGTGAGGTAATTCTCAGACCAACTTTTTTTCTAAGCCTAAATCCTCCCCAAAACTTGCTGGGTACCTCAAGCCATGGTGTGGAAAACCAGGAGCAAAAACGTGGCCCTGAGGTGGAATGGAGAGGGAGGAGATGTGGTTGCTACCCAGTGCTGGGGGAGGGAAAAATCAGTGTTAGTGTGGGAGATAACATGTGCTGCTATCTTGTGGCTGCCAAACCCCTACTGCAGAGCAGGATCCTGGAGGCAGGAGCAATGTGCAGCAGTAAATCACTGTTAGGCAGCAATTAAAACAAGGAGTAAAAGTTCAGCCCAAACTTTAATTGTGCTCCTGTAGGGTAAACCTATCACTGGCTCGTGGCTCTTCTAGCTTTGAGATAGTGGTTTTGGAATATACCATATCACTTCCTGCCCAAGGGAAGGTGTTTCCCACTTTGAGGGCTGAATTAGCAATAGTGAGATGCTAACGTTGCTCATCCTGCTGGGGGTCTGAGGGCCTCTTGTTTGGCTGAACCCTTTAAGCAAAGGGGTTGAAAGCTCCTTAGGGAGCTCTATACACAGCTCAGCAGTGTATAGACAACAAATAGTGCCTCTGTGCCAAAACCAAAGGTAACAGCACACTCGTTGCTTGTGTAACTCATTCAGATGTGGCAATTCCTTAAGCCTTTAGCTTTGATCCCTAAATAATCCGACCCTGGAGATGGAAACCTGCCTCCCTGCAAGCAGTACTAACAGCATGGATGCGCTGGGACCTCTGCTCCTGCATGGCCACATCAGGGGATACTTAAAGGATGAGTGTGCCCTGCTCTGGGGTGGTAGCAGTGGGGGTACAGCCTGGCTCTCTGTGGGGCAAGAGGTGGTGGTGGCCAGGGCTTCCCCAGCTTCTGAGTATGCTGGAGCAGTAGATACAGGTGGGGCAAGCAGTGATGGGGAGGAGGTTTGGGGTAGGGTGCTGGCAGGCATGGATGGAAACAGTCCCTCAGGCTGGAAAGGATGGCAGTTTTAGGTGCACCCCAGGCTCATGTGTTGGTGCATGCCCAGGTGACCTCCCCGCTTTGACCCCAGGACCTGACATGGGATTTCTTGTGTGTTGTTCTGCTGATGCATTTCCATGTTTCCCAGACGGAAGCAGGAGGTAGCAAAATGGGGAGATAAGGGACCTTGAAAATACTTTGTGGAAGTAAGGAATAGTGATTCCGGGAAGTGGAGATGGAGAAAAACTTGAGGTTGTTGCTTCTTGTCTTCCAGGGTCAGAGTCTCCTTGGATATTGACATATGTGCCTATAAGGAGCTGCCACAGAGTCCTGAAGGGCAAGTATGGGGAGTTTTCTCCTCCAGTGTACCATGCTGATTCCCCCATAAACTTTTGGTGCAACTGGACAATCTGGGCAGGCACCAGACAGCATATAATAATTTATATTCAGGGCTTTGTCTCTGAGGAGGGTTGCAACAGAAATGAGGACAAAATCCTATTTGAAGGCGTTTCTTCACTGGTGGCAAACGGCGTGGTTTATGCTTGCTGGAAAAAGGAGACGCATGCTTTTGCCACCTTTGCCCAGGCTGTCCATGTCGTGTTGCTGAAGAGGCACTTGCCAAACCACAGAGATGCGCAATTTAAAGCAAAGTACTACATCTTCCAAGACCAGGAAGGTGAATCCTCCTCTAAAGATGATGTGATTTCTGAATCTCCTGCTCCAAAGCTTCCAAAGGAAGATAATGTTTTTCAGTCTGGCCTGCCTGAAAACCTGAGAGATGCGCTGGGCTCTAGAACCACACATAGCACCATGAGCCTTGGCAAGACCACTGTGCTAAGCAGTGCATTGATGCCCGGAAGAGGGATCACTTTGGATGCTACAGCTGTGGGAAGTCTGAGATGCTGCAAGGAAGCTCAAGGCAGAGGAACACCTGAGGGCATTGTCCCCACTGCAGCACAGGATACCTGGGGGCAGAGTCTCTCCGTGAGCGGGGACATCACCATGGGGTTTCATTATACCCACAGGCCTTCAAGCATGCTTTTGGAAACAACTTTGCTTGGTGCCTTGCAGGTAAAGGAGCCTTTTCTGCAGCCAGCAGGTGTGGGTCTGGAGAGCAGGCAGTCTGCCCTGCACCCTACCCTGGGGCCAAAAGATGTGGGAGACCTACAGTTTACTATTAAGCCAACATGCACGGGCTTGGCTGCCCTCTCACAGTCTTTGTCCCCTGGCAGAAGAGAAAGCAAAGATAGCACAGATACCACCATGTACCGACGGGTCAGTGCAGTCAGCTTAGAGAAGGCTGAAAGCCATCCTCAGTTGAGTGTCCCAACTGATGGCGCTGTGAGCAGTGATGCCGATGGCCTTGCAAAGGGCCTGATGCCCAGTCTGAGTAGCCCATATGAAGTGGTAAACAGGGACCACTCACATCTGCTGCCTGAGAGAAGCCAAGGATGCCAAAGCAGTTTAAGGGGCTTGTCCATGACCCAATCTGTGCTAGGAACAGCTGGCCTCCAACATACAAAACATGTGGATATTTCTCCCCTGGAAAGTTTTAGGGGCATTGTCAGGGAGGAAACAGCACTGCACCCCACAGTACCATGGGATATCCTGCAAGAGCATCCTCATCTGCATGGCCAGAGCAGTCACATCCTGAAGACGTCCCCTACAGACCCTGGGAGCCTCCTCCAAAATGCGCAAGCACACATTGGTCCCGCTGCTGAGAAAGCTCATGTGTCTTCCTTTGCTGTACAAAGCTGCCACCACCAAAGCGACAGAGCTGCACAGCCAGGGCTGGCTGTACCCCATTTGCCAATGGGGCTGGAGCATTCTCCTGCGGTCATGTCCGCCATAGGGACAGAAGCAACCCCTGCGCTGGTGGTCTCCTGCACAGCTCCAGTCCTTGCAGACTTTGGCTCTACTGATTTAATTCCTGAAGTTCCTTTTGCTCCAGAGCCTGTGTCCAAGCTGCTCTTCTCTCCACCAACTGCTTTGCATTCGGACCCTGTCAGTCTCAGGCAAAGGGTGGGCATCTCACAGGCTAGCCCAGGAGAACAGGAGATGCTCTCCCCTTCACCACCTCACCACCCACCAGTAGCCTCCGAACTGGGCACAGATGAGTCCAGCAGGCACCTCGGCCCTGGGATGCCAAAGCTGGTGCTGGGGGAGGCGGGTAGCCAGCAAGCAGAAACTTCAGCTTCTATGGCCTTGATGGACAGGGGTCCTTCCCCAGCCTCCATCACTGTCCCAAGGCCTGATGTGGGGCTTCCTCGGCCTGAGGACCATGCGAGCAGCGGCTATGGGGTGGCACCAACTTCCCTACCTGGTGCCTGGGAAGCAAGGAGAGCAGAGAACGTGATGCCTGTGCGTTGTCAGGGCATGGCTGGTAATGACAAACTGGCTTCTGCCTCCATCCTCAGGGGAGTTAAAGTGCAGAAAACCATAGAAGCTCCTCAAGGGCATGCAGAGGAGGGGAGAAATGCCTCCTCCAGCACCACTCCTGCACACCCTGCTCCTTCCGTAGCCCCGAGGGGAGAAACACTGTCAAGAGGCCAAAAGCCACAGGAGCCCTCCGATGCATCTGGAAACAGTCGGATGCCAGGAGGACAGCAAGAGAAACATGCTGGTAGGTCTCACAGTACTTTGTATCTTGGCATAAGCCATCTTTAGAAGGCAGGAGAACTTGGTGGGGGCAAGGATGAGGCTGTGTCTTTCGCCTGCAGTCCCTCCCTGGCAGTCATTACCTGCTGTCTGCCCACTGTCATGGGCAGAACAGACTAGGGGATATTGGTTTAATTTGTTACCATGCAAATCAGAGCAACAAGAAATAAAACCAAATCTTTAAACCTCTTCCCCCACCACTCCCTTCTTCCCAGCCTCAACTTCACTCCCGAATTCCTCCCCCAGCGTCAGGACAGGGAATGGGGGTTGCAGTCAGTTCGGCACATGTTGACTCCTTCCTTGCCATGGAAACCCAATATAGGAAGATTTCCAGCAAGTGGTCTTTTGGCCAAACCTCTGTGGGAAGCAAACCCACATAATTCCAGCTGCTGGAGGCTGGATGGGCTGTGAGGGGCCAGACCCTTGCAGAGCAGCTGGGGTCCAGGTTCAGCTCTGATTGTGGAGCTGAGATGTGGCTCCAGGGGCTACAACTATAGAAATCTTGCACTGAGAGAGGGTCTGAAGTGGGGCTTTTTCTGTGTTAACTTGCAGCACCCTGTATGTGTGATAGCCATATCCTGGTGCACACAGTAGCTGCTGACCATGTCTCTCTTCTGTTTCATGTGTCAGAGCTTGGACCTCCCTGGACAATGGAGTACTTCCCCATCAGGAGCTGCCACCTTGTCTTTCAGAACAGGTCTGGGATGTTCTACCTGCCGCTGCATTCTGACATTAAAACCAACATCTGGTGTAACTGGACCATCTGGGCAGGCCCCCAGAAGCACATTGTCATCTATGTCCAGGGGTTCCATGGGAGTGACGGCTGCGGCAAGAACCATGACAAGATCATCTTCCAGGGCATCTCATCGAGTGTGGAAACCAAAGTGGTGTATGCCTGTCAAAGCCGAGGCACCCTGATCTTTGCTACGCAAGCTGCTGCAGTCCATGTGCTGTTTCTGTCAGGGAGTGGTTCCCCAAGGCATGAATACAGATCTTTTAAAGGACAGTATTATGTGTTCAGAGACTCTGAAACCATGGGCTCTTCAAATGACACCATAGCTACCAGAGAGCCCATCCAGGAGACCTCTAAGAAAGAGGGCTGGAAGACAGCAGTGACAAAAGGTCGATTGCCCATGCTGAGAGCCTCTGCAAGCCCATCAGCTATACCTGTTGGTGGCAGGACCCAGCCTGAGCTTGTGAGCACAGATGGAGAGACCCAACACTCTCCTGTTCTTATGGAAGATGCTCAGTATGGTGCTAACCTCAGTGAGTATGATCAGGTGTGGGATGAAACCAAGCTGCAAAGGAGCCTTGAGGATAGTGGCACTGAGGGCAGAGAAACTGAAGCTGACATGCTGGTGGAGCAAGCTCCATCTGGGCAAGGTGCTGGGTGTAAAGCTGAGCCATCCGCTTTGGAGGCTGCAAAGCGGGATGTAGAGTCGGTGTCTGCTCCAGTCACCACAGCAGGTGCCCCTTCCTCAGAGGTGCCCAGCAGCAGTGCAGGTCTCCTTGCCAAACCATCTAGCCTGGATCAGGCCAGCAGCAGCCTGTCGGATGGAGTGGCTGCTGCTGCACATCTCACACAGACACCAGTGCTGGAAGAGCCACTGCTAAACACAAGTACAAAACCTCCTCTCTACCCCTCTCCTGGTGTGAATGCTGGAGATACGGTGTCTCTGGGAGAAAGCACGGAAGAGTTCTTTGGTAAGGTGTTTTTTGGGTTATTTGTGGCTGAACTGGCGCCTGACACTGTGCAGTATCTGTCTCCAGTGATGCAGTGCTCTCATAACATGGCTGTTGCCTTCAGCTGGTCCATGTGATATCACTGACTCCTTCTATATCCAAGAAAGGTAGTACTTGAGAAGACATAGGATTATTTGTTGTAATTTGGGCATCTATGGGATGATGCTCCTCTTAACAGAGACAGGCTAGTTTCCAGCCCAAGTGCTTTGAGGAGCCAGCCTCTCAGCTGTGACTTTACAACCAAAGCAAACTGTGGCTGCTCATTTTGGTTTTAAACAGCTCTGGCTTGTATTGATTCCTATGGCTGTAGCCTATGGCACAGTGGTCCTAGCTATGACAAATGAGTTTGAGCTCTGGAAGTTGGGGGGTGGAGGGCGGGAAGGCTTTTGTCTCCTAAGAAAGTTTGATAGTAGACTTCTTCATAGAAATATTTAGCCACCCATACCTACTAATTTCTGTCTGAAGGTAGAATAGGTTCTCAATTGGTCTTTCCTCCCCTCCAAACTGCTCTTGTAGATGTGGAGGAGTTTATTTAGCTCTTTTGAAGTTGCTGGCATTTAATACACAAGCTGCTTTGCTTCATCAGTGTCCAAGGCAGCTCTGTTGGTTGTAGGAGCTTTGGTGTGGCTTCACAGGGATAACGTTTCATTCACCTTCAGGAGCAGACGTTAGGTTTATTGGGATCACATCTTCCAAAAAGCACTTCCTACTGTACAGTACATGTTATTTAGAGCTTGATGTTTAATTTCAGCAGAAAGAATACAGGGAGAAGCTGGCACATGGCACTCTTGTTGCAAAGTGATACATACCTTATGTACTTCCCCCCACACACCCTTACCAATACACTGAGGTTAGCAGCCTGATTCTTTTCCTTGCTCTGACAGATCTGGCTTCTGCCCTGGCATCTCTGGAGAACAGCACAGCACTGCAATCCCAGCACCATCCCGGAGGTGAGCAATGCAGAGTTATGCATGTCTTAAAACCCTGCCCTAAGCTCAGTGCTGATTGGTGTGGTGCATGGATGTCACCTCTCCTTAGGTTTAGAAACCAGTGCAGGGTGATTCTGAGTCATTGAAGATTTTAAGATATCACTGCAATCCCACGGTTGTGCTTTGGCCACCTTGAATGTACCCTGGAGAAACCCCAGCTCACGTGCTAAACCTGGTATAAATGTTGGCTTGTTTGAGTTCAAGCTTTCCTCATTGGCTGGTTAAAGGACATTTTTCTACGGTGAATGAGCCTCAATTGCTCCAATACACTCCAATAGGTGTCTCATGACTACCTGGATCAGAAACCTGCAGCTCTTTCTGCTCCTCAGGCCAGGGAGAGAAGCAAAACCCCTTTATGGGAACATTAGCAACTGAGCAGCATAGTACTGGGCTTATTTGGCAGAGCAAGCCACAGAAATAGCTTGCAAAAAGGAGTCAATACAGAAGGAGCCTGAGGATTGAACAGGAGAAATATTGCTGAATAAATAGGCTTTAAACAGCAGACCTGGCAAATCTGTGCCAGCCTGGATTCAGTCAGACCACAGCAGTTTATCTAAGCTGATCCCAGATACAGGTGAGAAATCGCATTTTAGACTCTATCAGAAATTACAGTGATTCCTTTGAGAAGGATACTAGCTGAAGAAATGTGAATGTGATTGGATATACATTAATGCTCTGAACTTTTCTCAATACTTTTTGGTATTCAATTAAAGGTCAGTTCTAGTATTCATCACTGAGCATTACCTAAGGTTTCCTTTCACCTAGTACTCAACAACTTGTTCTACCTGAAGCACAGCCTCTGACAATACCCACGTGGCACTGACTTACACAAGCACGTCCTTGTGGAGCTATTCTGCTTGTGTCCGTTTAAAGGACTAACTCATTTAAGGAGCCTGTTAGTGTTATACGGACTTAAACATGCTAGGATCTTGTGTCTTCTGGTAGATGTGCTGTTTGAAGTAACTATTGAAATCAAACCCAAGGACTGGATTCCTCATGGTGGAAGTGAGCTCCAAAAGGGTCTTCTTGAACCTATGAAGAGCTATGTAAGTCTGGGTGTGAGGAAGGAGAGAAAAACAAATGTGATATCCTAAATCTTTAACTAGAAGAGACCATGCTGTGCCCTTTATTACAGGGATTTTCTGTCAAAGCCATGTGATGAACCAGCATCTGAGGCCAATGCTGATGCCCTGGCAGGTTGCCTGGCTGGTGTTAGCTGCAGCCCCTTCATAGCGTTGTGCCATTGCAAGGTGGTGGAGAAGCACTGCAGAGACAGGGTTATAACCAGTGGAGGGCTGGAACTCGCCTCTGATAATGGGGCAGCTTGAGGCCAAAGCCTAAATATGTTAGCACCCAAACTCTTACCTGGGACTACTATTGCCCTTCTTTTTTCCCAAATGACCTTGTGTGTTGTGGAGGTTGAGCTGAAGCTAAGCAGATGGGAACAGTTAGTATTCTCCTTAGAGAAAAGGCTCAGAGCAGTGCGCTATGGGACATCTAACGCATCCCATATGGCTTGTGAAGGGGAAGAGCAAGGCAGGGGGGTAGACTGAGAAAAACTGTTTACTGCCATTCTCCTGCCCATCAAACATCAAATCAGCACTGGTGTCTGTTCCTTTGCAGATCCAGGAGAACCTGAAACTTCCTGCTAACAGAGTCAATGAACTAAAGCTAAAGGAAATCAAAAGGTAGGGCTACTGCTCTGCTGATGGCTTGGCAGCTATAACCTGACTGCTATAACCTGCAATATTGCTTAGGTAGTATTGCTTAGGCTTGGCTCCTGATTCTCCTTCCCCTTGCAGAGATCCAGGCTTGCTCCTCTCCTGTGGGCTGTAACTTCTCCTGAAAGTAGGAAAAAAAAATCATTTTCTAGAGGAAAGATGATGAAAAATAATGTTTAGTGTTGGCTAGTATCTTTATACATTTAAGAGGGATTTAAACTCTGGGGAAGATGAGGATCTTCACACCTGCCATGGTGCTATCAGTTTCCACGCTTTGTTGAGGCTGACCTGGGGCTGCAGATTGCCATTACAAATTGCTTTATGCAAACAGCTAATCACTTCAGCCTAGCTCCGAGTGAGGACCATTACCATGCTTTCCTTTATGCCTTGGTCCAAGTGCAAAGCCGCCTCTTGTCACAAATCATCTTTGCAAGAGCCTGCAGCACCATGATCTAATACAAGTAGGTAGAAGATCTAAATGGGCTTTCATAGCTGGGCCTGGTGGTGATGTTTTCCTCCTGCCTGCAGGACGAGCGATGCCAACCTGCTGCTCACCTTCTGGCTGCATCTGAAGCCGGAGGACAGGAACATGTCTCTGCTCCTGCACTCCCAGCTGGAGGACCTACTTGGCTCCTCAGCAGGAGCAGAGAATCTGCACCTTGTTTCACTGTTCGTTGAAGGTGGGTGTTTCACTTCGCTGGGGTAAACCTTTTTATGCCAAACCTGACTCGACTTACAGCACCTATTCCCCTGTTACAGATGTGAATGAGTGCAGTGCTGGGGTTGGACTCTGCGGGGAGGAGGCAGAGTGCTTCAATGGTGTGGGCACGTACCTCTGCCGCTGCAAGAAGGACTATGAAGATCATTCCCCCACCAAGTCTGGCACCCTCTGCGTCCCTGCTGCACAATCAGGTAGAGGACAAAGTAGCAGCTCTGCTTTCTCCTGCAGCTGGGTGCTTTTCTTGTGTGTGTGTGTGTAACTTGTGCAGCATCACTCTTGCCACATGCAGCCTGGAGCAAGCACCTAAGGATAAGGGGCTCTCTCTGTGACTGTGCCTCTGCTAATGTGTTTTGCATGTGATGCTTAAAAATGGCACTGCTACTGGAGTGGTGGCTTTAGATGTCCATGCCTGGTATGGGAAGGATATATAATATCTTTGCAAGGCAGTTCCTAGCTGTTGGTCCCCTTATGCCTCCTCCCTCAGCTTTAGGAGTTCTTCCTTAGCAGTTCTGCTCAGATATGAGCAGACTGGGAGGCAAATGTGATCCTTTCAGAAAGTAAGAGGAGGGTGGAAAAGTGAAGCTTAGGCAGCATAGGTACCTAAGTTAGAAGGAGAGCCTTGTACTCAAAGGAGAAATGGCCTTTCCCAGGCTCCAAAGGCATCGGCTTTCAGAGGTCAGCCGAGATAAGCCTCCAAGGAGCAACCTGCATCACTTAACTGTGTCAGGTTAAAGTCTTGCTGCTTGTTGGGTGTAATTCAGTGTGAGATCTGTGCTCCCAAGAGCTCTCCTGAGTGTGCCTGGACATTTAAGGGAGTGCTGTCACTTTTGGGTTCCTCAATACAATGGAGGTCTACAAGGATGAGGGACTAGAGCATCTCTCCTGTGAGGAAAGGCAGAGAGAGCTGGGACTGTTTAGCTTGGAGAAGAGAAGTCTCAGGAGGATCTTACTGATGTATATTGATATCTCAAGGGAGGGTGCAAAGAAGACAGAGCCAGGCTCTTCTTGGTGATGCCCAGTGACAGGACCAGAGGCAGTAGGAACAAAGTGAAACATGGGATGCTCTTCCTGAGTATCAGGAAACACTTGCTGTTATTTTTACTGTGAAGGTGACTGAGCACTAGCACAGGTTGCCTGGTGAGGTTTTGGAGTCTCCATCCTTGGAGATACCAAACAACTGTCCCACCTCAGCCCTTCTGTGATTCTTCCTCCCGCTCGAGGGAGGCTGTGGATGGAAACTCTTGGTACAGCTCATGCTCCCTGGGAGCAGTGAGTTGATGTGACAGCCAGCACCTGAACCTGGAGCTTAGCCTGGAGTATTTAACAGATGTTTAAATACTGGTAACAGCCCATGGTGTTTGCTGCTGTACTCTGTTCACTGGCTTTGTTGGCACTTCCAATTATAGCCTCTCCATGAGCCATAGCCTCCCTTTCCCCAGTCTGCTACTTTCTCTGCACCAGGGTTACAACTTGGCACATGTGAGCCTCTATTCCCCAAGACCTGCATCTTCTGGCCCTGATTGCTCAGAGCTTGCTGCTATAAGCAGAGTGTGGACAAGGGTGATTTATGAGTTACCTCTGCTGTAACTGATGTGATCAGCAAACCTGGTTGCTCCTCGGAGTGCCCTGTGCTCTCCTGGCACACTGTGTAGATCTTGGTGAGAAAGGCATTGATGTGTTTACCCCAGCTCTCCCCTGACATATTTGACACAAGGCTAAGCAGATGGCATGTGGTGCTTGCCTGTAATCAGAGCTGGCTAATGCAGTCTTGCAGAGTAATATGTCCTGCTAGACTGAAAGCAGCAATATTCTGCAATATGTACTCAAAACACTGCTGCTACTTTACCAAAACTACTTCTCATCCCTGCAGCATTGGAAGTGGCTTAAACCTGAATGTGACTTTGCAGCCAAATTGCATTTCTCCTCAATTCTCCCAGCTCCAAATTCATTAACCAGTTATGTAGTCCAAGCCTACCCAGGTCAGCTGGATGTTGTTCTATTAAGATAGAAATAATATGATAAATACATATTTATCCCTTTGGTCATGGAGAGGATCCCTTCACGTCTGTATGGGAATGGTAGCAGGTCTTTTAGCTTGCATGTAGCTGCACACGGGTTTGGCCATAGCTTTGCTCTAGGGTAGCACCAGCCCTGTGCTGCTCCTGCAGGCTGGCTGTTGATCTAAATATTTCTTTGGGATGGAGGTTTGGGAGAGATGCTCTGCCCCAGAGACAGTCATGAGGGTTTATTCAGGGCCGCAGGGGAGATGTTGACCCTGCTGGATGAGCATCCACAGCACTTGAGCACTGTGGTCATGATGTGGGGGACTTTGTGAGCACAGTAGAGACCACTTGGGGCAAGCAGGATGAGGCCATGGCCCTTCTCTTGCAGGGATCAGTTTCTTCCTCCGCCACGGCGACATCCTGGTGGGTGCAGCCATCATGGCTACCCTGTCAATGCTGGTGGCTGCAGGTGTCCTGTGCAGGGCAGCCATGCGGGGCCGGCACCCCAGGAGGAGCCTGAGCCCTGAGGAGCCCCCAGCGAGGGCTGCAGAGGAGCCGGTGATGGAGCTGCATGATCTGGGGCAGTGCCTGCGCCTTGACCCCTTCCAGCTGAAGCTGCGGGCCAGGCCCCCTGAATGGCTCTGGGCTGCCCGGGTCCACCCTGCCCAGGAGTACCAGGTGTTCCTGGAGCAGTCCCCCCAGCTCTGAGGGGGTCCCGGGGCTCCCTCAAACCCCCTTATGGCCCTGGTGACCTGTGCTGTCACTCCTGCCTTCCCCAGCTGACACAAGCCACTGGCTGTGTGAATGAGCCCTTCTGGTGTGTTTTATGGACCATAAATGTCCCATCACAGTCTTCCTTGTCTCGTGGTTTAATTTTTAATACTCACCTAGCTTGGAGAACAAAGTGCGTGTTCCACACTGCTGTGCATCTTCTCCTGACTTAGCCTGTATGAGAGCGGTGCAGAGCTGTCAGCGCACGGAAATTAAACACTTTTTTAAGGAAAAAAAAAACGCAAATGAGATATTTTCGTGTTTAGTTTAAGAGATTAAAAGTTATTTTGCATCTGCACTCAATGCTGCCTGCTTTCCCCTGTCCCTGAGGCAGAACTCTACGGGAAGCCCTGGCGTGACCTAAGGATCTGGGGCTGGGGGGCTTCTAGGCTGCGTGAGGAGCACCCCCAGAGCTTCACTTAGTGTTCTGGGGAGACTCCTGACCAGATTATGGCACATGGATCTCCTGTCACTGAATGATGGGGATAGCATCCTTGGTTCTTGCATGGATGCTGGTTGCTGCTAGCTGCGAAAAGCACCACTGCCAAGTAAATCCTCCTCTGGCAGTAAAGCACAGTTGTGTCCCCAGCTTGTCCTGCAGCTGAAGGCTATAACTTCTCTATTTGCTCAGTTTAGGGCTTTTAAAATTGGAACGACTTTTGTTCATTTTTCCCCCGTGTGAAGATGTGTGGATGGTGTGGTGGCAAATGTCCCACTGGAGGGCACTGTCTGCCACCAAAACCCAACAAGGGCTGCTGCTGCAGGGCTATACCCCTGCACGCTGGCCTGGGCAGCGGCTGCCAGATGTGAGGCACAGCTGGAGCTGGTGGTCCCCCAGTGAAAACAGGACTAGTTAGTGCAGCTCGTGGATAGTCTCTTTGCACTTGTTAAGCAGGTTTGGCCAAGATGTGCTAAGGAAGCGCGGGCTGACCGAAGCAGCTCCCACCACCGTCAGTGTGCCCGGCTCAGTGAGCTTTAAAGCGGCTGGAAAGGGCCCTGCTGTGTTTCTCTGCAGGGAAGGGGTGAGGATGCTGGTGAAGGAGGAAAAAGGGACCCCAGGGATTTCCTTAGAGTAACTATTTTCCATCCTTTCCCCCTAAAAAGCAATACCTATAACTCGTCTGTTGAATCATGGGAGGAGCAATACGTACAGCATGGAGGTGGATATGAAAAGGGCAGGGACTGCAGTATAAATTGGGGCACTATAAATGCCAGTGTGTGCAGGTGAGAGGAAAAAAAAAAACAGGTGAGAACGTGCTGCTTGCACTGAGATGATAAAAACCAGAGCATCCCTGGTGCTTGGCTGGCTGCTGTGGTGCCCCTTGGGTGAGGGACAGTGTGGCTCTCCAGTAACAGGCTCATCCAAAGCAGTTGATGCTGATGGGGTCCTCCTGCCTGCAGAGATATGCAAAGTAGAATGAATACTCCCTGCACACACTTCCTCAACAGCAGCACTTCGGTGCTGTTTAGTGCCATCCAGGTTTGGGTACCGATAAGGTTTAGACAAAAATAGGTCTCCCCAAGTGTCCTGGGTTCAGCAGTAGCAGTCATGTTTTTTTTTCTTTGTGTTAGCTGGTGCAGTGCTGTGTTTTGACTTCTAGTTTTGAGAACAGCGTTGGTGAAGCCGATGTTTTCGGTTGTTGCTAAGTGATGTTTACCCTGACCAAGGACTCTGTGAGGCTCATGCTCTGCCAGGGAGGAGGGAAAGCTGTGAGGAAGCAGAGACGGGGCGCCTGACCCGGGCTAGCCGGGGAGGTATTCCATACCACAGCACGTCATGCCCGGGGTGGGGGGTAACTGGGAGTTACCCGGAAGGACAGGAGCTTCCGGGTGGAACTCGTTTTCTTGGCCGGTGGTATCGTATTCTCTTCCCTTGTTATTTTCCCTTATCATTGTTTTAGCTGATAGTAGCGGTGGTGATTTGTTGCTGGACTGTTCTTGTCTCAACCCGTAGGAGTTGCACTCTCTCGATCCTCCTCCCCGTTCCTCCGGGAGCGGGGAAGGGGAGAGCCCCGGTGCAGGGAGGGGGGGGGGGGAGACGAACACGGACCTTGATTGTTGTCAGCTTGGCACCACTCACTGGGAGTGAGTGAACAAGTTACCTGACTGGGTTTAAACCACGACAGTTCTTTTTGGCGCCCAACGTGGGGCTGGTATGGGGAAAAGGGGTAGAACTGCCTCTTAGCAATTGTTTCTGAAGGAAGGCACTGTTGAAGGACTTGGTACAAGAAGAGAAAGGTTTCCAGATGATCTAAACTAATGATGGTGTCACTTTCTCTTCCCATTCCTCAGTCTCTCCATGCACTGGTGTTTCTTATGCTGGATGTGGATGTAGAAATAGATTCTCAGTCCCCTTCCTCCTTCCTTTTGAGTCTCTGCAGTTTTCAGCTGTGTTCTTGGTTTGCCAGCTGTTACTGTAGGCCTCTGTGTGGTTGTGTGACTGTGAAGTGACTATGGGCCACTTTAGGTTGAAATAGCTTAGGAAATACACATTTCTCCTGGAAATGAAATGCCATCTCATTCTCAAGAAGGACAATGAATAAAGGTCATGTGCTGGTCAAGAAGACGTTCTGTCCACTTCCCACTTCCCAGCCCTTAGGGTTTGGTTGCTTTCATAGGTGCTGTTGCTCAATCCTGATACCTAAGAGGAAGCAGAAACAGACTGAAATCAAAAGAGACCCGAGTATGGTTGGGGCTGGTATGACTGCTACTGCTGAACCCAGGACACCAAGACATCTTGGTTGCTGCTTCCTGTGACATACATGGAGCAATCGGCTCTTGCTGTTTTCAAATTATTGCAAATAGCAAATCATTAAAATACAAACAGCTCCCTAGGAGGCAGCTAAATGTGTGCAAATTTTCATTGTGAAGAGAAGGAAAGCTCTCTCTGAAAGAGAAAGACTGTGCTTGTTTCCCCTTCGAGGTCAAAAAAAAGCAGCAGGGGCTACAATAATACTGTCCTTGTCTTGACCTTGGTTTTGGCTGGGCACCACATCCTCTTTTTCCTCCTTGGCTCCATAAAGGGGTCCAGGGAGCTCTTTCGGTTGAAAACTCCACTCTCTCCCAGTAAGGTTTGGATCCCAAAGCTAAGCAAGTAACAGGCAGATTGAGGCTTCTCCTGACTTTCCAGCTTTTCCAGAAGCAATGTGAGCTCTAGATGGTTCTCCTGCATGGGAAGCTGGCTCCTGGAATGCTCTCCAGGTTAGCAAAAGCTGTGTTATCTCCCCAGACCTGCAGTGCCATGCAGGAATGAGTTAAAGAAAACAATTTACCTTCCACAAACCTTCTGTATCACCATCCCCTGGCCTGCTATGAAACCAGTGCATCCCACTCCTTTCTATGGCCACAGTGTATTTCATCCCGTTTTAAGGGGGTTCCTCAAAATTGCTTTTCTCCATTGTGTGGTTGCTTGAAAGCAGCAGAAGCTGGTGTTTAGCTATTCCCTTTCACAATTTACTGAAGAAAGAGGTGACACACATTGGAAATGCAGCTGGTGCTTTCAAGAGCTCATGGCAGCTATTCAGTATTGCTGCTTCTATACATCATAGAGCTTCACACTCAAAGCCCTGCTTCTATATTAAAAAACCAAACATATTTCTATATTAAAAATTGCCCAACTGTACCACAAGCACATGCAATGCATGCTTGTCCACATCAAATGGTGGCCTGGGAGAGGTGCTGGTCTTCAAGCCTGCAAAAGGTGATGTTTTGCTGTCTTTAGGCATTTTCCTTTCTCTTTTTGAGTGTGCTGCTCTGGAAGGAGGCAGTGAGGTGATCTATGGCAGAGAGGAGCTGCTGCAAGCCCCAGGACCTCAGGGTTTCCAGTTCTAGTTTGCACTGTGATTTCCTCTGTGAGTTTGAATAAGACAACCTGGGGGTCAGCGACAGGCTTTGGGAGGAAATGCACACTTAATGATGAGCGTTGTGTTTGGCCCCGGGGAGCATGGGTTGTCCTGACCTGTGCACCCTGCTGAGGCAAGGGGTCTTCTCCCCAGAACCATAAGCACTCAGAGATGAGCAGTCCCTGTGTTCCCCAAAGCAGGGGTGCCCTAAGAGGGTGGATGAAGACCCACATCTGGGAGCGTGCTCCAGCTACAAAGCATGGAGACATCCTGCAGCATCCTCTGCTGTGCAAGGGGGGGTGGGATGACTGCTTGGCAGCTTTCAGTCAAGGCACCAAAACACTGAGATACAGATATATATTGTCTTTACATGCACATACACAAGTAGGTGATGGGCTGGAGGCCGCTTCCTCTTCATGGAGTGATTCTACTTTTCACTGATGTGTCAGAGAAGGGATTGAATGAAAGACCCTCCCCTTGTTTGTTTGCTTGTCACAAATACCTACGATATTGCAGACATGAAGTGGTTTAAGAAATCTGATCTGTGCTGTGATGATTCCCAGCCCTGCCTGTTGTAGCTGTATCATTAATCACCTTCCACACACGATGTTATGCTACTGCAAAGCGCTGCTGGGATGTCTGGCAGTGATGTAGAATTCTCTCCCTTTAATGGCTCATCCCTGCTCCAACGTTATGGCTAGGAGGTATATTCTCAGTGATGTTCCAATGTACCACAGATAATATACCCGAGGAGGGAGTCAGTGCTTCCCCCCTGGAGCATGCACTGCCTGCACCCGACTGGTGCGTGGTTAGTGCAACCCATGAGCACCTGGCAAGAAAAGAAGGAGATGCAAGGATGGAATTGGCTTGCTTGGTCTGCATGCTGTGAGAGGGAAAGAGATGATGTCATTCCTGAAAAAGACCATCAGCTGAGCTGCCATTTGTTGAGGATGGATGTCAGGCAGGATATGTGTGGCACGGGCAGCAGAAGGAGCAGACTGGAAGGGTTTCTGTTCCCGGGTAGGGCTCCAGCTACCTGCATCTTCGCTGGCTTTCCCGTTTGTAGAAATGTGATGTAATCCTTGCCTCATGCAAAGGGATGCTCTGCTCTGAGTCTGCTTATGTGCAAGGGGCTGCAGAACTGCAAACCATTTATCCCCTCCTATGTGAGAAAAAAGTCAGACACCACCTTTCCTGATGTAATACAAGTGGTTTCTTTTACAGCTCACTCTTTGAGAGATGTGAGAGGGTTCCTCTGAGATTTTGGGGGCTTGCGGTTGTTTCTGGGGCTGGCAGAGCCAGGAAAGGGCACCTGAGTTATGTTGTGTCCAGCTCCTGAAGCAGGTGTCTTGGAAATTCTTGCTCAGCCAGGCTTGGGCTGGACTCCCAGTGAGAGATTGCCCTGAGCAAGCAGCCTCCAGGCTCTGAGGCTGTTGTTTCTCAGGCAGTGAGGA